TAGCTTGTAAAGGGTAATTTTTTTCAATTTTGAATTTGACACACATTTATCACTGACTAGTGTCCAATCTTTTAAGGAATCTTTTATATATAACTCGAAGATAATAAAAAAAGAAAGAAGTAGAACCAAACCAAACCTGCCTTTCCCAGCCACTGGCTTGTGGGGTAACCAGGCAAACTTATCACCTCTTCCATTTCCTTCCCGACTGCACTCAACTCCCCTACCGAGGGCGATGCTGTCTGCGATCCTCGTCCTCTCTTCTCACTCCCGAGTTTATGGTAGAGAAGTTAAAACATGGATCGGGGAAGTGATTTGTACAGTGGATAAGGGCACAAGCTCTGGAGTCAGATTCCTGGGGGTTAAATTCTGATCCGAGCTGTGTGATTTTTGGCAAAGCACTCATTTGTCTGATTTGTAGTTGTCCTACATATAAGACGAATGGACGGCAGAAGCATAGGAACACGAAGACGTGGAAGACGTAGAGTCTTCCCAGGTTTTGTAGGAATAAGTGATACTATGTGTAAAAAACTTAACAGTAAATGTTTAGTAAGCATAACCTACTAATATTTAATTATTTGTGCCAAAAGGCATAAAACAAGTTCGTTTTCTTCCGTTTTTTTCATAAAACTCCATTTTATGAAGTTTGTACTTACTGAACAGAAAAAAGATACAATACTGTCTTATGAGATAAAATATTGATAAGATAATTCCAAATACCTGAATAAAAACTAAAAATGGCAGGGCTGGGGATGGGGATCAGTGGCAGAGGTCCTAAATTCAGTCTCTAACACCACACACACACACATACACACACACACACACCTAGAAAATAAATGTAGATGTTTTCAAATATCTTATAGACCAAGCACCAACATTGTTTCTGGTGTGTCTGTGTGTCTGCGGGTAAATATATGTGTGTACATCTGTGTGTGTGTGTGTGTGTGTACATACAGGAAATCAATATATTGTATTCACCAGTCCTTTCTTGAGTAGCTCTCTGAGCTGTATACATATCATAGAACTTTGCATACATCATTCCCAATGCTCATTCATCATCTAGACAGATGCTGAATTCGCATCATTTTCCATTTTGAAAGCCACAGCACTTAGGAGGCTGAGTCCTAAGTACAGGAATTTGAGACCAGCTTGGAACACGTAGGGAGAATCTGTCTCAAAAAGTGAGGGAAAGTAAAAGAAAGGAGAGGAGAGGAGGGCAGGGGAGGAGAGAGGAGGGTAGAAAGGAAGGAAGGAAGGGGAAAAGGAAAAATCTGTATATTACTGCACATGTATCTGTCATAATTTACTCTTAAACAGAGCTGTATTGCTGAAGTTGGTTTTTGCAAGGTATGGGTTTGGGCACAAGAGCCCCTATTATGTTATCTTTGAGTTAGTAGTTCTATGGAAAATGGAGAAGGGTTGGTTCTTCAGGAACACTTTGGTGTCAAGGAAAATATCACCATACTTAATATGGCTCATGAGAGAATATTTCCTGTTGTTCAAACAACTGAAAAAGGTCAGCAGAACACCACCTCAGCAGTGGATTCTGCGTACTGCCCTCAGAACGTAAGCTCTGCGGGACTTCTGATGACTCCTCTATGATGCTCTGGCTTATGCAGATACCATTAGAAGCTCCTCCTGACAAGCATGATGATGAACTTCACATTTCCCATCACACAACACATGTTTGGATGACAGACATCTCTGTTAAGCAGAGGGTGTATTATTTTCCAGGAATCAATTTTTCATTCTGCTTTGCAAGCCCATGAAGCTGCTGAAAACTCAAACAGCTCATTGATGACAAAAGAAACCCCACCTAAGATAGGCCCCCAAGGTGTACAGATATAGGACACTTTTGTTTTTTTAGAACTGTAAAACCTCTATGGTTCTCTAAAGAATGAGTTTTCTGTTTGGATTCTAGGACATCTGACTCCATTAAATGAAGGACTCTATCAAATGAAAGATTTTATGCCTCAAAAATATACATGGTTATTTATCTAATTTTATTTGATAAATTTCAATGAATGAAATGTGAACAATAAGAATAATCCTAACTTCAATGTTCATGGTTGGATGTAATTTTATCCTGGGCTTATTAACAAATATCTTTACTGAATAGTTTCTCTGGTGTGAATAAACATAAGATCCTAATGATGTAATTGACAATGTGAAATAGGAAGAAAAGGGCTAAAAGTATAGGGAAAGTGGGAAGGGTAGGGATAGGTAATAAGAGAAAGGAAAAAAATAGGAGAAAATGAAAAAAATGGAAATAAAATGTTTGTAAATGGGTAGGGGAGAAGGCGGTGAAGGGAGGGCAGGGACAAGGGGAAAAAATGAGAACCAAGCCCTGTCATGTAGAGGTACAAGATCCCAATAATGAATGTAACTGTACTGTATACCTAAAATGTACCAATAAACTCAATGAGAGGAAAAAACAATTATTTTGTGATCTTCTAAATAGTTTATGTAAAACAAAACAAAACAAAACAAATATATATGTCAATTCAATCAATATTTTCAAAATCAGGTGAATAGCCTTTCCCATTGCTTTTGTTGCTTCCTTATGGCCTTGGGAAGAAGTTGTTATGTTCTTCCAACAAAAATAATGATACTGGTTTGGCAGAAAAAGGGAAGACCTTATATCGATTATAATTTATGGCAATAAAAGGATGGGCCCTCCAAAAGCAAAACCAAACGACTTCAAATTTTAATAGTACCATTGCTTTGGCCCCTAAAAGTATTCTTTCACTTTTAGGATTATTACCTGAAGATGTAAACTTCAAACTTCTATCAGTTAATATATTAATTTCAGTATGATCTTAACAGGAATTAGTGGACAGCTATCAGAGATAGATTGAAATTTGTTTCATGACCGATAAGACCTGAACTTGACTATGAAAATATTCTTCAAGAAATGCTGTTTGCCAAGTTTTGAAGCCTCTGGACTCAATTTTAGAAGTCACAGAGGGATTACCCTTTGTAGAAAATACTGAGCATAGCATCTTAAAGTACTCTCAAGTTTGAAGTTGTATGATAATGTGATACATGTTCACTGTGAACTACATATGAGGCTGATATTATAAAATGAAATCTAAGCACATTAGCATCACTTAGGATCCCAGCAGGAAATAGATGGCAAGCTCAAGGAAGGTAATGTAAAGCAAGGACTAAAATCAGACTTAAGGGAACCAAGAAAGAAACACAGAGATCAAGAACAGGAAGTTCTTATTGCCCTTAGGCCTAAAGATGCAAGGAGGTAGCATGTTATTGGAACATAACAAAAGTTAAGGCAATGGAGAGCAGGCAAGACTCTATAGACCATGGAGCAGAGCTGTCAGCAGACTATGGCCCAGCATAACCACTAGGAAGAACCATCTTGATCACTCCTTCCCCTTACTCTTTGGTCATTTATTGGTGCTTCCTATTGACCAGACCCAACTAGAAGCCAATGTGATCTCTTGAGGCCATTGCCCCTCACTCACTCCACAGGGCAGGGTTGAGAATAGGTCTAGAAAGGCAGAAAATAATCAGCATGCATAACCATAATTACACAGATATCAGCCTCTAGTTCATCCTCATGAAGAGCAAATGCCATTATTCTGCTCCTTTGACTTTCTCCTCTTCTAGCTTTTTTACCCTATTATTCTTCTATATCATTCTGTGCTAGAATATAATGCAATCCTTAAAGGAGGGCTGTTGCTATTATTTGAAAAGTAATCTTTTTTTATTTGCAAAATAATCTGATTTTTTCTTTCTTTTTTACTTAGTACTTACAATTTATTTCAATCAAGGTTTTCTCTTGTTGACATCTTCCCTGGTATCTCAGCTATATTATCTCCTCCTGAGACTAGAATGGTTCCCATCACCTCTTTATCTGCACAGCTCCCTCTTCATACAGTGTCCTGTCCTACATCTCCCTCTTTACTCGCAGTTCTCCACTTTCTTTGGCCATGGGAGGGGCTGTTATATTTTATGTTAATGGAAACAGTCCCTTTCTGACTGGGATAAAACTCCACAATGTGGAATAACTATTTTTTTTCATTTTTTTTAGCTTTAATTGAGTTTATTGGTACATTTTAGGGATACAGTACAGTTACATTCATTATTGGGATCTTGTACCTCTACATGACAAGTCTTGGTTCTCATTTTTTCCCCTTGTCCCTGCCCTCCCTTCACCCCCTCCTCCCCTCCCCATCTGCAAACACTTTATTTTTATCTTTTCATCATCGCATATTTTTTTCTTTTCCCTTTTTACCCTTCCCCTACCCATCCCACCTTCCCTACACCTTTAGCTCCTTTCTTCCCATTTCTCAATATCAATAATCTTATTAGGATCTTCTGTATTATTGCAGATTATTCACACCAGAGAAACTATTTGGTATTTACACATGTGTGCCTTATTTATTTCACTTAGGAGTATATCTTCAATATGGAATAATTATTTTTAATGTATGATGAATTTAAACACCTAGCATCTTTTTCATCCTTTTTTGGATTATAGTTCTTTTACATTAATTTCCTTTTCTCCTTTTTATTTACAATATTGTACGTTAAATGTTGAACCAATGCCTAGACTGCATGTGTGTGTGGTATATTTGGGAGGTGGTGAGAAGTGTTAAGATGGTCTTATTGGTTAAAAGGTTAAAAATTGGAAGAAGAGGGGAGAAAATGAAGGAGAAAGGGAAGGATAAAGGAGGTGTATACTATACATGTACCAATTCCCCACAATGAATGAATGTATTCACTATGCTTCACAAACACATACTAATACAAAGTTAATACATAATAAAAAGAAGTTCATGAAGCATTGGCCATGCAGGCTTTGTTCTAAGACATTTGGAAAATGCAAGGAAGACCCCAAATCTGCCAAAACATGAATCAAATGAATGTGCTTAATTTTTTTAAATGGCTGTTTTAGTTTGGTGACTCCTGTCTTTCAGAGATGGTGGCATGATTCTTGCAAGTTGTACGATTGTAACTGCTTCTTATTTTACTCCACTCAGATTCGTAGCCAGAGCAAAGCCTCAGTGTCTGGGCTGTGTGAGGGGGATGAGGTGGTGTCTATCAATGGCAATCTGTGTGCAGACCTCACCTACCCAGAAGTCATCAAACTCATGGAAAGCATCACAGACTCCCTTCAGATGCTCATCAAAAGGTACAACACATTTGTTGGAGTATAAATCTGCTTTGGAAACTAAATGAGAAAAATAATAGCTCTACTGCATGTATATCATGATTTACCAGGGAACTGGGGGTTCTGTAAATAGGAAGTCAGGGGAGTGGAGCAGTAAAATCTCAGTGGCGGGTCTATTCAAACTTTCTGATTAATTGAAAATTAATTTGAAAATCTTTGTTTTCAAATAATTTGTTGAAAATTTTAGGTATTGTAGACTACTTCCTTGGAAATCTCTGTATTATTGAGCATAATTTAATACTGCTTTCTGATGAGTCAGAATCACTGTTATAATTCCCAGATTCATACCTGAATTAAAAATGTTTAAGAACTAAACCATTGAGCTACACAATAATTTTTTATAGAAAAAAATACTTAGGAAAGGAAAACAAAAGCAAACAAAAATTTGAAAGCAGTCAGATTTCTACTTAAGGACCACCAGTAAAGCCAATATTTGAACACAGACAAAAGCTTATGTTTAGAATGAAGATTTGGGACTACCAAAGTAAATCATTTGTGAATTCCATCTCTCCAAATACCACTATTGTTTTAAAAATGCAGAAATAACTTTTAGAGATAAAACAAAAGAAAATAACAGTGAGGGCAATCTCTTTCACACACACACACACACACACACACACACGCACACAAAATAGCATCCACAGTGCTACTGTAAAACTCAGATTGATATAGTACGATCCATACTGGCTTTTAACTTGAAGCCCTGACTATTGTCTTATCGAGACATAAATGTCTCAGCTTCATGGAGTACAGCCTTCAGGAGACGTCAGAGAACATTTCACAGAATCTTAAAGCCCTCTAAATTTGGCCTTAACTTTGTGGAAAAACTACATACATAGAGTGTCATTCCTCTGATACTCCTTCAGTATGATTCCATTTCTATTTTAAAATGATCTCATCAAAAATCTAACATAGTCTTAGAATGTCCCATCTAAATATTCACTCACCAAGGTCCGTGTTAAAGGCTTTAGGATCCCACTTACTTATAAAGCTACCCTTTGCTTTTAAAAGGAACCTAACAGGAAAGTTACCAGGTTAGGTTCCAGTGTTTGCAGTTACTGTGTATTAATCTGTGACTTATTTGAAGACTTCCATATTGTAAAGATTCACTCATGTTCTAGAAGGGAGAAACAACCTTTTCTAATTTATTCCTTTGTAATGCATTTAGCAATTTAACAATTGAGGCCAGTTTATCTGGAACACACTGGTTTGGGACACCCAACAGAAAATTACAGTTGAATCTTCGGTACATATTTAACTTTAGAAGTAAATGAATCATGCCTATAATTATTTCATCCTAAATATTTTGACTTTTAAGTGAAATAGTTAATTGATATGACACAAGATAGAATTCAAAGGTAATTATCATCATAACCACCATAGCACTCTAGACATCTGAACATTGTTCCTAGAAATTAAATATCTCTCTCACACCACATCATCTTCACTGGAAGACAAGTATTTGATTTTTCCGGGGCTTTTACCCAGAGATGGCTGCTATACCATTTTTTAAAACGCCTTTAACATTGAGTCTTCACTATCTAAATTTTATTAAAACCATAAGATATAAAAAGATAAATGATTATATAATTATAATGCATAAATTGTTCAATTATCTATAGAGACTGAAAAGAAGATAATTAAAGCTTTAACCTCTCTCCTCTCTTGCTTTTATGACTTTTATTTATGCGTAGAGTAAGTCCCTGACTCACAAATGAGTTCTGTTCCAGTAGAACATTTGTAAGTTGGATTCATCCTAAGTCCAACAAAGTGAGTGTTATACACCTTTGACACAGATAGATAATGTGTTTTGTTTTGCTCTTCCTAGAAATCCTCTCCCCATCACCACTGCTTTTCCTCCTGCTTCTGTACATCCTGGCCCTGGTTGAACTATGTACTCTGTGCACTATTGCACTGTACAGTAAGCACAACTGTGACAGTGTCCCGCTCAGTACCTGAGCTACTTCTGAGACTTGTTGGCATCTAAGAATGTTTCTAATGCAAAGTCCGTTCATAACAGTGAAAGTCCATAATTTGAATGTTCCTAAATTAGGGACTTGCAGGATACATTTCACTCCAGCTATCAGAAATTTTAACATTCATCTGGCCCATTTGCCTGTATTCCAGTTTATAAGGCTGGAGTAAATTGAACCTATTCTATTCTTAGCTTCATAATCAACTGTTAACATAATTCAAAGTGACTTAATCTACTTCCATTCTAAGGCCTTCCTAGGCTAGCACTGTCTGAACTTTTGGCACCCTCAAATGCAGTTTGATGGAGTGTATTTATCATTTCCTATAAATGAATGCTCTAATTTGCATCATGTTTTAAAACACTTTAGAGTAATTTTTAAAAAACAGTGCTAGGAAGTTTTTCAACTTATTTGCATAGTGAAAGCTGCATTATGTTAATTACTCTGCCTTTGTTTTGTTTTGCTTTACCAAATACAATCCAAAACAAAGTTGAGAGTGAATATTTGACCAGTGATCTGATATTGTACTGTCACAGAAATTCTAAGGTAAATTCCTGTGAGTAGAATAGAAATAGCAGCTCCCTGCTTCCATTGACAATCCCTGCTTTAGGTAGGGTACATTTTGAAGGAGCAGAAAAGGGGCAAAGATAGCTCCTGCTGTTGCTTTAAAAAAAAAAAAACAACTTGCAAATGTAAGTAATGAAGGCCATCTCCCACAGCTGTTCTCTGAATGACGCTTCTCTTCTAAAAGCATTCAGGGTTTAGAGTTTTAAAAAGAAATTGTTTAACTCTTAAATTGACATTGTGCCTTCTGGAAAGCCAAACTTTGCAAAAAGCCCACTGAGAATGAGTAAGGTCAAACGAAGGACTGTGTTGAACTGTTCTGGGCTCCTTAGCTGAGAAATAAAGGAACAGTTTGACTTCAGAAATCCTAAAAGGAAAATGCTATAAGAGACAGGTTCCAATACGAGAAGGGAAGACATCTCAGATTATAAATACTCCATGACTTAATGATTCATTCAGCATGGAAAGGATTTCTCTTTGCACAAGAGAACTGGGCCAGGGTCCACTTATTACCAAACACACTCTTGCCAGAGCTTAAAAAACAGTTTGTATTTCATTCTTTTCAAGAAAGTATAGCCTCTAAAAGGATTACTTGAAGTATCTGTAATTTAAGATTGATCTGAAGCTGCTGGATATGTTTATGTGACTTTATCACATCTAGACTAAAACTCAGTAAGACAGCAAAATGCATTGTTCCATTACAGCAAACATAGTTATTTGGAAATATACAAATAATTTCAGAAAAAGGACATCCATGTAATTACAACCTGTAATTTTTTTAAGAGTTGAATTTAGGTTTTAAAGTCTTTGTGAGAACTTTTGTTGTGCTTTAAAGAAAAGTTTATTTAGAAGCTCTTTACACAATCTTACAAAGATGTTGCAACGGGTTTCCAAATATTTTGCAGTTGACATTGGGGGAAATATTTTGATGGTATCATGTACTGTATTACATATCATAAATGTCAGGAGAAAATTTTGGCAGGTGCAACACACTCTGATTTAACTGTCTGGAATTATTTTCCTGTGTACAGACCATCCAGTGAAATAAATGAGGCTGTGGTCTCTGAAACTGAAAACAAAAACCACGAGCATCTCACACAGGAAGGGTATGTGGAAAGTACCACCCTGCAGATTCGACCGGCCACAGAGACCCAGTACAGAGAGTTCTCCATCTCCCTGGCCAAGAGCAGAGCTCCTCTAGCTGAGGACCAGAGAAGTGCTTCTGATTGTGCAGGGAGCTCAAAAGAAGAAGCAGGCCTGAGCTACCAAACAGCTCCCCAAGCGCTTGACTCCCTAGAAGGATCCTTGAGAGAAAAGCTAGAAGCAGGAAGACTGGGCACCGTGGTGGAGCTACAACTGTCACTTTCACAGGACCGTCACAAGGACACCAGCGACCCTGCTGTGGCTCTCCTGGGAGCTAAGAAGCCAAAGTCTCCTGACCTAGACCCGTGCTTGCAGCATGAGGGGGCTGTCCTCATAAATTCCGTCCCTGCTGATGCAGAAGGAGACCTTTCTCTGAGGTCCAGCAAGACACTCCAGGTCTCCAGCAGCAGAGAGCTGAGAGTGATCCAAGGGAGTGCAGTGGCAGCAGACGGGCTGCCCCAGGTAGAAGTGATCCTCGATTGCTCTCACAGGCAGAGGACTGAAGGGTGCAGGCTGCAGGCAGGAAAGGGGTGTGTGGCTTCTCCAGCGGAAGGAGGGCAGTCCGAAGCACCTCCTTCTCTGGTCTCATTTGCCGTCTCATCAGAAAGCACAGAGCAGGGAGAAGATCCACTCGGGGAAAAGGATCACAGCAGACCACACAAGCACAGAGCGCGGCACGCACGTAAGTCCTGCCCTGGGTTGGCGCCTGGTTCTCAGGGAGTCTGGGGACTTTGGGGTATTTTGCTGCTGCTTTGCCTGCATGGACTTTTAAAAAAAATACTTTTTTCTGCCTTTTAGTAACTTTAAAAAATATTTATTTAATGCAAAAAAAAAAAAAAGCCAAACTTGAAATTGTGAAGAATACTAGATTCTGAATGGAAAGCTATAAGTCTGAATTTCATAGTAAATTCAATTTTTTTTCATGAAATTCTTTTTATCCCCCAAGGTACAGGGACTGTTAAAGAAAATAATTTGATCATTGTACCTTTTCTTTCAGAATATGACAATGTTTCATATTTAAATATTATTAAGAGTATTGAAAGTCATGCAGATGCTGAGTTTAAATGTGAAAAAGTAGTTCAGTCTGCTGCTGAGAGGTGCCTTTAAAATACAGGCTGCACCACTGATATTAAAAGCAGATCTTCATTTTGAAAAAAAAAAATTGCTTTGCAGCTTGATGATGCTTGCAGAAGTGCGCTTGACAGACAGGGGCATGTGTGATGCAGAACGGTTACACGATACTTTCTGTCGTAAATGTCTCCCCTAGGCCGCAGAGCGTTCATCCACCTTCTAGACACAGAAGTCAGTCTCTGGGGCCATGTACAGGCTTTTAGATGTCCCAAACATACCCTGAGTTGAATTCAAGGCTTTTTATGGTACTATTTTGTTTTAGCCAGGGCAGTGAGGATAGAAAGGAAATGGGAATAAGAATCAAAGTTACATGCGAAGGTTTTTGTTCTTTTATTTCATGCACATGTGTATTTTTTTTTTCAAATTTTGGAATTCCATTTGATGATGTAAATGCTGACTGGCAAAGGCCCTTGAATGTGTGAAGGATGCAGCCCAGCCATGAACTTGGTTATTCACAGTAGTGTGTTAAGTTTTCTAGTTCACTGTTATTCCTTCCACAGCATATTTTTAGAATAACCATTTATAGCCTTATTGGCAAGTGCTGTTAATCATTCCTTATACTTTAAGCATTTGGATACCATCTTTACATTTATAGCATATTAAACAAGCATATTAAGACAGCATTCACATACTTTGTGTTGGCTCTGAAGTTAGCAACAACTGGGCAACTGTGACTGTCATTTTAATAATAAGTTGTATAACACTAAGTCCAAAAATGAACCACACTTAGTAATGGCCATGATTTTACCTTTTTCTTTGTACAAAATTTTGTCACCAGTGAGTATCTGTAACTTTGTTATAAAATTATTTCCTCTGATATTTGATTTTTAAAATATTAAAGTCTTGTTTCACAAAAAAGCTAATTTTCAATCAAAATATTATTCTTTTCTAAAATTTTCTATTTAACTATCTCAAAGAATAAAAATAATGTAAATCATATTCATTATTAAAATCATGATCATGATTAACTAATGTTATAAATTAATTCACCACCAAATTATTTTTCATAACAAAAGACAATTTAAATATAAATTTTGTTTTATTTCTGTAAAGCTCTTGTTTTATATATAAAATTACTAATTACTGCATCAGTTTTTACAGTAGTCACAAGGGTCAAAACACATAATTTTAAACTTTTTTAAGATTTACACATATTCCTACTACAATTAAAACAGTATACTTCCAAAATAGCAATACATTTACAAACAAATTTGTCTAGCCAACTTTGTAGACAGAGCCTATAACATGTATTCACAAAGATCTAGTATTCTGAAGTATGATTAATTGTTAATTCAATACTTTATTAATTTAGTAATTTGAATTTATATTAATTATTATTGCTGTAAATGGAAAGATTTTGGGTGGTTGTTGAAGTAAAAAAATTTTTTGAGAAGCCAAAACAAGGTGAAAACCTAAGTACTTACATTAAGACACATAGAAGATTTTTTAAAATTTTCTTAGGACACATTCCCATTTTATAAGATGCTTAGAAATACATTCCCATTTTATAAGATGCTTAGACATTTTATTTTTTGAATATAGAAGTACAAAGTATATCTCATTTTTCAGAAATATTTTGTTTTTAATTCTAATCATATACTATTAACTGTCATTTCCCAACCACCTTTTATTGTTACAAGGTAAGAATCTGAGAGAAATAAATATTTGAAATGTTCTAGTCAGTATGTATAAAAAATGCATTTACATGAATAAATGGAATAGGGTGTTGTGCAGTGTTATACTTATTATGTATTATTATAGGAGTATAAATTTAAAGGAAAATAAGGGGCTAGAGGTGTAGCTCAGTGGTAGAGAGTGTGCTTAACAGGAAGCACCAGGTTTACCCTCAACACCAAAAAAGAGAAAAAGAAAGAAAATAAATTGGATTCCTTCAAACTTCAGTATCCAATTATAAGAATTTTTTACATATTCATTTTCCCCAGAGGGAGGCAATTTCTGGGTTGCCATGGAGTCTTCCTTGAATTCATCAACTCACTAAGATTTTTGTACTTTCCCTAGGGCTCAGGAGGAGTGAAAGTTTGTCAGAAAAGCAGGTGAAAGAAGCAAAGTCTAAATGCAAAAGCATTGCCCTCCTTCTCACCGATGCCCCCAACCCCAACTCCAAGGGGGTGTTGATGTTTAAGAAGCGCCGGCGGAGGGCCAGGAAGTACACCCTAGTCAGCTACGGTACTGGAGAGCTTGAACGAGAGGCGGACGAGGAGGAGGAGGAGGAAGGTGACAAAGAGGATACATGTGAATTGGCCTTTCTTGGCACAAGTGAGTCAGAAGTGGATGAAGAGTTGCTGTCTGACATTGACGACAACACCCAAGTAGTGAACTTTGACTGGGATTCGGGACTGGTGGACATTGAGAAGAAGCTGAACAGAGAGGACAAGATGGAGATGTTGCCAGACACCACAGGAAAAGGAGCCCTCATGTTTGCCAAGAGGAGGGAGAGGATGGATCAGATCACAGCACAGAAAGAAGAGGAGAGGGTGGTTGGAATACCAGGCAGAGAGGCAGAGATTGCCCAGACAGAAGGCCTGAGAACCACGACTTCATACCAAAGGAAGGAAGAGGAATCGGTGAGGATGCAGACCTCTGTGAGCAAAAGCTACATCCACATGGGCCATAGCCTTGGGCAGGTGCCTCAACAGAATGGCTTCAGTGGAGGATCCGAGACAGCAGAGGCCCAGAGGCCAATCCCTATGAACAGAACGGCCAAGCCTTTCCCAGGCTCTACAAACCAGTCAGCAGCTCCCTTCTCCCCAACTCACAACATCCCGAGTCCCATCTCTGACTTCCCTGCTCCTCCACCTTATTCTGCAGTCACTCCTCCACCTGAAGCCTTCTCCAGAGGGGTATCAAGTCCCATCGCTGGCCCAGCACAGCCCCCTCCGTGGCCTCAGCCTGCTCCGTGGTCCCAGCCAGCCTTGTATGATGCAACTGAGAGGATAGCATCCCGGGATGAGAGGATTGCAGTGCCAGCAAAAAGAACAGGGATATTGCAAGAAGCCAAACGGAGAAGCACCACAAAACCCATGTTCACGTTCAAAGAGCCCAAAGTAAGCCCAAATCCGGAACTCTTGTCACTTCTTCAAAATTCAGAAGGCAAACGGGGCACTGGAGCTGGTGGCGATTCTGGACCTGAAGAAGACTACCTCAGTTTAGGAGCAGAGGCTTGTAATTTCATGCAAAGCTCCTCTGCTAAACAAAAGACCCCACCTCCTGTTGCTCCTAAACCTGCAGTCAAATCCTCATCCTCCCAACCAGTTACTCCAGTTTCTCCAGTCTGGTCTCCAGGAGCAGCTGCAACCCAACCTCCTGCCTTCCACACATCAAACCCATCACAGGGCACAGTGGTCTCTTCCATCAAAATAGCCCAGCCTTCTTGCCCTCCTGCCCGGCCTGCCAGTGTGCTGAACCTGTCTGGTCCCTTTAAAGGACCACAAGCAGCAGTAGCCAGTCAGAATTACAGCCCCAAGCCAACAGTGCCCATACCAACAGTCAATGCTGCTCATGCTGGGGCAATGGGACCATCCAATGAGCTTCCTGGAATGAGTGGGAAAGGAGCCCAGCTCTTTGCTAAGAGGCAGTCAAGAATGGAGAAGTACGTGGTGGATTCCGACACTGTCCAGGCCCATGCTGCCAGAGCTCAGTCTCCCACTCCATCCCTACCGGCCAGTTGGAAGTATTCCTCCAACATCCGAGCACCTCCTCCTGTGGCCTACAATCCTATCCACTCTCCCTCCTACCCATTGGCTGCCATCAAGTCTCAGTCATCAGGCCCACAGGCCTCTAAAGTGAGCAAGAAAAAGGGCAAGAAACCCCTCAACGCTTTGGATGTCATGAAGCACCAGCCGTATCAGCTCAATGCATCCTTGTTTACTTTCCAGCCTCCAGATGCAAAGGATGGCCTCCCCCCGAAATCATCAGTCAAGGTCAACTCAGCCCCTGCCATGAAGCAAGCTCTTCCTTCCAGGCCAGTCAATGCCACCTCACCCACGAAGGTGCAGGCTTCGTCTGTGTACTCAGTACCAGCCTACACTTCTCAGCCTACATTCTTTGCAGAGGCCACCTCTCCAGTCAGTGCATCCCCAGTGCCTGTGAGCGCCCCCACCTCTCCAAAGCAAGAGTCCACTGCCTTGTCATCTTATTTTGCAGCACCACGGCCGAAGTTCTCAGCCAAGAAAAGTGGTATCACAATCCAGGTGTGGAAACCATCTGTGCTGGAAGAGTAATCTTATAGCTGAAACTGAGTGTCCACTTTGCTTGAAATGAATTGTTTGCAGTGTCACTTGAGTCCCTGAGAATGCCTAGTAAATCCTCAACTTACTTAATTTCAGATATGTCACCTGCCAATCTGGGTCCAAGGAGTATAGCATTTTTTTAATGAGTCAAAAATCCTACTCAGATTGACTTAAAATCTATTTATCTTCTTTGCATACTTAAAAAATCGAAGTATCCCAAAATAGATGTGTGCTATTACATTAAGTAAGCAGGATACTTAGGATTTATGCCTCAGCCACAGGAAAGACAGTGATCAGTGTTATCAAACATTAGAGCACAGCAGTTATGTAACACGACAGCTGTGCACCCATGGTGAAAGGTTCAAATGCAGTGGAAGTGTAACATGTATTGACTGAGATTTCCCTTTTAAGTCGTGCTTTATCTACATTACTAGTGTGAAGGGAATAAGAAATCTAGAGGGGGCAGGATCAACTCTGGTCTGTCAACCACAGGCAACTGTTGACATCCCAGAGAAGGTTTCACTGGGGATTGTTGGAATGTATATAGTGTAGTAAGAAGTGGGTAGGAAAGAGGATCGTAATAATTACCGAGCACTTATTATGCTAGATTTATTTTGGCCAGATGTTTTTACATGTATTAACTCACTTCAGAAGACATTTAAAGTATATAGGATAGTACAACAAGGATAGTGATCCTTAGAGCTAATTATCCCACCCTTCCTCCTGGGTATTTAAGGAACTAAGGGAGTGCTGTATACCTCCTTTGCCCATGAAAGCATAAATTGTTTTCTGCAGCTGAGGCAAGTGGTAGAGTACAGAACAATGAAGCAACATGTGCATAGAGGGTGCACACAAAGGTGCACAGCGCTGTTGGCTTCCCTAGTCCTGGGACTTGAAGGGTTACCGACTACAGGAGCTGACGGTGAAGCACAAGGAGCCCCATGTACCCAGAGACTGTGGGGTGAGAACACAAGATTATTAACATCTGGTCTGAATGACCTCTCAGATTTTCTTCCTATGTTTGTTTTGCTTTTTGACAAGTGCTTCTCCCACCGTTCCTTGCAATATTATTCGTGCACTTTTACTTTATTATTTATACTTGATGGACCAGGATAATTCAGGCAAGGTTACCTTGTAAGTTTGGATTGGTCACACACCATATCATCATCCAGCTGACTAAGAAGTCAATAATGTTACTGAAAGTAGACCTGAAGACCTTTCTCATATCTATTTTAAGTTTGAGTGTGACCGTCCATGGAAAATATTCAACATGAATTAATGTAGAGAACTACAAAGTGTTTATGACAGCTCCAAGGAGAACCATCTACTCTTTGGAAGAGATATGCTTAGTGGCCTCCTAGAAAAACTTGCCTGGTTTGAGGGTACACGGTGCCATTTTAATCCTCTGAAAATAACTGTATTCCTGTTCTTTCTTTGCTGTCACTGTCGATCTGCTATATTTTTCACTATCCTATTAAAGTATTACTTTCTTCTTTATTCTGTACATTGTGGATGTTTATTACAAGTCTTCCTTGTATGAGCTATTCTGATCTAAAACATTTCTTTAATATTTCTCTCACACATCAGAATTTCCTTTCTGTGAGCATGCATTTACCCATACATTGTAAAGTTTTAAGCTTAGATATTTCTACAACATAACAAAAAGGAGCAGGGTTAAGTCAGTTGCAAGAGTAATGGCGCTGATTCTTCTGCTTTTTCTCTGTAAAATCTTCTGCTGGCTTGGGTGGCAATGCAGGGTATAGCCTGATCTCTTATTTGCCTTTTTGGGAAATCAACTAGGAAGATTAATTCAGGACAAAGGAAAAAGCAATCTATCTCTAGTATGTCATGGCTGTTTGTATTACTTGTTTCCTGTATAGGAAGTCTGTTGAATGCAGCACATTTTACATTGTTTTCTCATGGAAGAGTCAAAAAAGTTCTGAAGGTTAAGTAGGAAAGGAGAGCGTTTTATAAATGCATTCTTAACATAGCCTTTAAAGAATGGCATAGATTAGAGAAAAAGATATGGAACACACAGGTAGTAAATTGGAGCGCTTGGGTCCAGAAGTATTCTAGGATGGTAACGAGCCAGGAGTATTCCCAGTTGTCTAGTGGTTTGTGGTATGTAGGAACGAGAAGTGTTTTCAGTTCATTTCCTGTTGGACAGATGGCAGCCTTAGAAGAGCCACTATTTGGAGTTGATGACTAAAGACACAACTAACATGATTATGTCTTCTTGTCATCTGGGGACTGTTAGGGATTCACACAAAGCTTCTAAGAGACATGTCAGGCATGCAGTGACAGCATCTACAGTTTCAACCAGGAGTTGGTAGTAGACGTGATATCTTGGACCATACAGTCTCATTTATAGAAGAAAGGTGGAAATTTTACAAAACAACATCCACAACAGGGAATCTGACCTCCCCCTGAGGTCTGTGGAAATGGGAGAAAGAAGGACAAAAGCATCTCCCTGAAAGAGAGATTCCCTTCTTCTTCTTCCCCACCAGGAAGCTGTGTGGCCCCTTCAGGCTGGGGTTATGGAAGTGACATCATTGTGGCAGGTGGAAGGGTTGAGAAAGGAGCTGCTCTCCCACTAGGCCCACTTTGCACTCTGAGTCTTGTTGGTTTTGTTGTGGTGGTAATTGTTTGATTGGTTAGTTAGCTGGTGGTGGGTTTGAGGGAGCAGTTTTTGTGTAGTTTTTAGCCCCTTTCCTCTTCACTTGTTCTTTGGTAGCTTAACTCCTAGAAAGAGACTCCAAGGAGTCAGTTTCCTCTGGCGGCACCATAGAAACAATCAATGTCTGAACAACTATGTTATACCAGGTGCCTTACTCCATCATCCTGAGGCATCCACTGCATGGTTTATAGGGGCAGGAATATAAATTAAAAGATAATCTCAGTCACTGATGTACTGACAGACTTTAAGCAAAGTTCCACAAGCTTACCCTTAGAAATACCTCAAAGCTTCCTGGTAGAGCTATTGTGCTACAGTGAATTGGCACAACCCCAAAGATTGTAAGAGGAAGAAAGTTGCTGTGTATATAGAAGTACAGTGTGTTCTCCTCAGTCTTATCAGAGGGCAGATTGAATCACAGAACTGGTGGGACTGGAGGAGTGTTGCTACTTTACTGTCAGAACATTTACTATTTCATTGCCAATATTTAAATAGTAGACATTATTTTAAGAGAGGGAAGAAACACAAAGTTTCTGGATTTAGACTATCAATCGATAGGGTAAAGCTTGCATTTTTCAGGCTATATTTTTTAAGACACATTGAGGGTCATTCTAGAATATGTAAAACTTCATACTTCAAAATGTATCTAGTATGATTGATTGCTAATGATATTATGTATGAACTATTTCATTTTGCATGAAGTATCTCATTTAATCTTCACAAGAAGCAACTCATTTTAACCACAGGAAAACCAATCTAGGTTACACATAAGTCCTTACCTTAAGTGTAGGTCATTTAACTATTCTATACAGTGCCAACTTCTTTCACTGATGGACAGCTAAGAATTGTTACACAGCCAGCATTCTAGCACAAGAGTCACATCTAAAGTGTCGAAAACAAGTGATACACATTTAAAGGGGGTTGACCAGCACACCTGGGACCACTTTGCTGTTTGTAGTCACTGGGTTAAAGGACACTGAAAGTTACTTTGCCGCTGGTAGGCACATCAGACACTCTGACTACGTGGCTCTGTCGGTAATGCCCCTAAGAGCAGGAGATGCTTGGCTATTAGTGTATGAATTTAATCTTTCAAATAACTTTACTGTATATCATTTCAAACAATTATATACAGACAGCCTTGCAAGCACCAACAACATAAGGGTGATTTCCTTTAAAAAAAAATCAGTAGTTATTTTACGAGTTACTTCTAGCCAGGCAGGAAGGGTATTTGAAGCCATGGTCCTCAAAAAGAAATGATTGTTTTTTGAAAAGGTAAATGCTTAAAATGCTTCCAGAGGAAACTACAGAACACATGTTCGTTCACTCCTAACATCAGAGTTGTGCAGTTTGTATTAACTTTTTTTTATAAGTTCATGAGAAAAGTATGTGAATTCCAAGGACCAACATTGTATTCCCCCAAACAGTGACTCTCATTGGTCTAATGGCCCCATATTATTGGACTCTTGGGGACACAAAGACTCCTGTAACACTTCAAAGCTGGTGACTGAGTCAACAAGTATTCTGGGAAAATGCAAAATTGAAATTCTTCTCTAGACTTCCTATCAGAGCTGGCCGAAGGCCATAAAGCAGGCTGGTAAATTCCCATAGGACCCGACTCCAGAGAAAAGTGTTGCCAGAGGCTAGACTCCGTTTATCCTTCTACAGTTGAAAAACAATATGTGCCTCAGGCCAATAAAATTTGAGCCTTCGAATATGAAGTATCATTTCCTTCATGTCATCAGGTACAGTCAGTTCCTATGATATACATACTTGTAGCTGAAACTGCAACTTGGCATTTAGAAATCACAGACCTACTTAAAGACAACTAAACAGAGAGAAATTAAATTTAAAAATATTAAATCTGAGACCGACAGGTATAGCTCAGTGACAGAGCACTTGTCTAGCAGGGGCAAGGCTCTGGATTAGATCCCCAGCACCACCAAAAGAAAATTTCATTTTCATGAGGGCTCTCATGTTTATCTCTATTCCCTCCGTTGTTCACATGTTTGTCTATATTTTGTGGGCATTATGACATGTAAATCCAGAACCCTTAATCTAACTATCACAGGAACCTATGGGGAGAGCCTGTTTTCACAGCTCTTTGTTAGCTTCTCAGTAATAGTTACTGGTTTGTTCATGGGAAAAAATTAAATCAAAGGATTATAATTGGCTCTGAGTTGAAAAGAAATGTACATTGTAGGAATAAATAGCCACATGTTCTTCTTGGAAGAAAGTAACAAAGAGCACAGTGTTTTGGTTTTTTTCTTCAGGAAAAAGGGAATCCTGG